CTAATTGAACAAATCATTCTAAAGAGACTAATCAGAGCTTTATCATATTCATACACTGATGGGACACACATCAGAGGCTATGAGGGGTTCAGTGTCTTGCCCAGGGACACTTCAGCAAGTGACTGCTGGTGGATTCAAACCCCCAACTTTCGCATTGGAGGACGACTGCTCTAACTACTCAGCCACAGCCGCCCCTACTGTTTTCCTGCATTCTATACCAGTACCAATCCAATTCAAACAAAACCAGCCCTGCCTATCAAAACTGACCACAGCCATTGATTTTATATGCTGTGATGGACTGGTGATGGGACCCAGCTTCTCGCCCAGTGACTGCTTGAAACAGGTACCCACTCCCTGCACAGAAAGGTGGATGGGTGTTTTTTTTTTTAAGGCCGTATAGAAAAGCATGGCCACGTCACAGTGTTAGGATTTTAGTTTAGGTTTTGACTTACTCCCAGTCTCTTTTATAGCAGTTCCACAAATTTAGTGATGTTAAACTGGTTGGTCCACTGGTCGGTGCTGCTTGTGGGACTCAGTTTGTTGGGGCTCCTCGGACTGACGAAGTCCTTTGGATGAAGGACGAAACGTCTCAACAATAAAAGAAACTGTCCAGAGGACCTGACTGAACTTTGTTGGATTTTCTACCTGGATTATTGAGCATGAACTTTGTTGTTTTCAGTAGTTTTCAGGTTACTTTGTTTCCTCCCCGTTTACTTGATCATTTCCATGAGCTCCCTGGTTTCTCAGCACCTTCGCACACCTGCCACTCATCTGTTAATCAGTTCAGCTGTTTACACTCAGCTATTGACTCTCCCAGCGAACATACTCGCAGGTTTCTCCAGCTTTCTCCTCAGAGTGTGCTCTTTACCTGCTCTGCTGCCTTCCATCTGTTTCTGTCTCTGTAGTTCATGCATCTTGTGTGCTCCCACCTGTTTGTCTTACAATTTGTTCCGCTGTCCTAGCTTGTCATTTATTGATTAAAGTTCTTGATACCCATTTCTGCAATTTTGGGTCCTCGCCACTATTACACGATGACAGGCTGTGGCTCGTTGCTCATTGAGAAGTTAATAAACACACATGATGCTGCTCATGTTGGGTCTGCTTCGGCTGAACTTGCACTCCGAAAATTAACAGACACATTCCACTTGTTTATCTTACAGCGCCACTTCAAGTAAAACTTTCATTTCAGGTGCTACTGACTTTTCTAAAATTTACTTTTAACATTTTAACTTTGCTAACTTTAGAGGCACGTCCTAACTCGTTCTGCTCTGCATTCTGTGAGCGTAAACAAAGCTTCTGCAGGGCTAAATTAACAGAAAACCATAAGCAAGTATGATGCATGTTTAAAAGTGTGGTGCAAGAGTTTGGCTTGGCAGACAGGTCTCCTGAACCACTAATATCGTCTGCAGGCTTGCAACTAACCAGGGCTTCTCCACCAGACTTGTTAACACCCCAACCAACACCAAACCAGTCCCCAAGATTCTACGAAGACGGGTGCCAGAAAATAGAGATGTATCTGACCGCTAACCTCCAACGCACAACACACGCACGCTCGATTCACACTCAGCTCTGAGGAATAACCGCTGGAAGACAGTGTGTGTCTTTATGTGTGATGCCACAGTGGGTTTTGACACCTTCTCTGTTTGCCTGCCATCAATTAACTCTAATGAGAACAGTGGGTTTGGACAGAAAGCCTTGTATATTGTGTTATTGCAGCTCGGCTCTAATCACTCAGGAAGTTTGTCTCAGCTGGCCACAGCCACCATCAGGAGCAGCTGAAAGGAGACAGAACCATCCATAAAAGCATATTGGTTTAAACAACCACTCCCCATCTATTAGCTCAAAATGACATTTAATGACGCCTATTAGCTCCGCTCCAAATCACCGCTGCAGCTCCTCTAGACTAATGACACCAATAACACGCTCTCCTTCTGAACACATGCAGACGCGGGAGCTGCCATGCAGACATGCATGCAGATCATATCTGCACAAGAGCGTGCGTGCGCTCACGAACGCACACCGATCTTTACGCGCACTGCAGCAACAGTGGCGAACCGCAGGGCAACCGAGAGCTGTCAGCCGATTAAGGACAATGCAAGCCACAGAAACCAACAGCGCCTCCTGCTAATAGCGCAGTGGCCTGAGGGACCCGACGAACGGTGCTCGCTGCAAACCCCACGCCGCAGAGCTTCACCTCACCCTTACTCTGACCACGCAATTAATTAACTGATCCTCAGCCTTACAGTCCAGAGATACGAGCGCTTTAATTCCTCTACAGATATTATATGAGGGATCATGAAGCGGGGGCTCACATCCCTTAGGAAAGCTCATATGGCTACCATAAGGGCTCATCAAACACTCTGACACCAAAAGTCCTTCCTGAAAGAGATGCCCACAGTGAGGCGGGTTAAATGGAGAAAGAAAAGAGAGGAAAATGCCAATAAAACTCTTGATGCCTTAAAGTTTCATCAATAAATCGCACCAAGAATGTTCTTTAATGTTGTTTTTACAACACTCGTGATGGAATCTAGTGTCATTTTAGCAGAAATACCAGTATTCTTACTGAGAAGAACCACAGAGTGCCCGTGTGTGTCATTTTTAAGACAGCCTACTGTTCCCTCTCTGGTGCTGACCCTCCCTCGCAGGGGCCCGTCGTACCACAGGCCTCCTAATTACCCGCTCGTTTAGCACAAAATAAGAGCTGTAATGGCCGACAAAGCCCCCCCATGTTTCATTGAAGCGTTCACAGATAGGATCAGAGCGCTGGCGACAGCCTCTCGGCTCTATGGGAGCTGGTGCTGACGACGTGAACGCAGAAAGGAACATGTGTGTTTTGTCACCCTTTGACCTCGCGCTAAATGACCCCCTGAGTGGGAGACGTGGTCAGGCCGCAGGTCCTGGGTACATTGTATCACCAGGGTTATGAACGATGACGCGGTATTTACGTTTAAATTACTGCCCTGAGACTAAAGGGAAAATTCAATGTTAAACTTTTAACACCAAAGCCTTTTTTTATGACAAACTGAGCACATAAATGAAGAACATGCTGAAATTTCTACAACTTATATCAAGTAGAGCTCAGTTTCTCTGGACTGTTGTGAATGTGCCCCCCTCCCACCGCCCAGAAGGATTCTGGGAGACCAAGCTAGAGCTGCGGCTTCACGGAGGCCAAGTTCAGCCTTTCTAAATAAACTCAGTTCCGACTCCCATCTGCTCGCCACCGACTAACAAGACTTGTTTGAAAGTCATCTGACGGGGGACAGCAGATGCACAGGAAATGCTTTTGATCAAACAAGAGTGAGAACGGGGCGGTGGAGGGAAGAAGGGGGTGTGGGCGTGATTGCGAGTGCATGTGCGCTTGAAGACTTGCATATGCCTTTGTTTCTGAAGGGGGGAGCATGTCTCTTGAGTGCAACATGTAGCGAGCGTGTGTGAGGCGTTTTTTTTTTTTTTGGCACCACCAGCAGGTTTCCTACCACACAGAGCGATGATGGTAGTAATCCTACTGTCTCCTGGCTCCTCCGCGTCTCCGTGTGTCCCGGTGCCATATGTGACAGGGCAGGCGGCGGCCTGGTTTGTTTGTGATGTGATATTGTTCACTGAGACGCCTTGAGATGAGAATATATTTTTTTATGAATAGGGAGGAGGGTTGTGGAAACAGCTGCATGCCAGACCAGTTGGCACTGACGGCTACAGTAAAGTTTTTTTTTCCTCTTTTCTTCCTCACTTGTTTTTATATAGCCTATTAAAATAAGCTGATGCTAGCACTCTGCTACACCGTGTACCCTCTCAGGGATACTTCGTCTCACATTTTATGTCTCTTCTTCCTATTGCATGGGAAAACCGGCTGCATTCTTAGCGTTTATATTTAATTAACAGCCTGCTGACTGTTAAATTACACAACTTGTGTTTGCCGGTAAAACTTCTTTGGTTATTTACTCGTTCTTGTTTTTAGCTAAGTGCTTGCCACTATTGGCTGGCTCCACGGTGCCACGCCCACAGCGCCGCTGGTGGTGTAGTTGATGGTTAAGGCTGCAAAAATAGCAGAGGTACTGTTTTTCTTGAAAGTGAAAAAGTCGCATTTATATCATTGTTATAATAAAATGTCTAGAAACTGATTCTGTGCGACAAACTAGAGATGCATGCCTTTACAAGTGGAATTATGGGAAGTGGAGTTTCCAGAAATTCTAAAGCTTGACGTAGTAAAAGATGGAGTATTTCTGCGTATTATTGCTTGACGTCAAAAGGCAGGTTGTTATGTTTTTGCGTGTCTCTCTGTGTGTGTGTGTGCATCGTTTAGAGAGAGGATATCCCATGAACCACTGGATGAGTCCTATTGAAATACTCTGAAAGTAATCAATGGATGCACATCAACAATAACTTCAATTTCAAAGATCACCTGATTCAAGATGGCTGCCACAGCTAAGCAACATTAGCCAACACAAAAACGGTTATAACTCAGTCAGCTCTGCAGGTACTGAGGTAAGATTTGGTGTAGACGCTGAGAGCTATCCTCACAAATATACCTCAGGGGCTAAACAAGAACATGAAACTTTTCTTAAAACATTGCCATTAATTGTCAGAGTCAACCTTGTTCGTCTGTTAGCAAAATAGTTTATGAACTACTGGACTCATTTTAACTGAAACTTTCAGAAAGTGATTATTGGGTGCACATATATCATTGATTATTTGCAGTCAATCCAATTCAACATGGCCACCACAGCCGACTGACCTTTGAAAACACAAAAATGGCTACAAATCAGTCAATCTGACAAATATTAAGCTCAAATTTGAGGTGGCAGTAGCTGAGAGTAATCCCTAACACATAATGGGTTTTTGAAAGTAAGTAACTAAGTAATCTAATGAAAAACCATGAGATCTTGCACAATAATATGAACACTAAAGTGTAACTCTGACTTGCTGGTGCACCACATTTGAAAAGAAATCCCACCAAAGCTGCTGTTTGTGAGTGCGTGGGCTGTGCGTGCATTGCTACTCACTCCTGGGCTCACGGGGTCCGTCCACGGTGACCTTTATCGCTCGGTGATAAGTGGCCACTTGTGGCGGGTTGGTGAATACTGTGATTGTCAGCGTGAAGCTCTTGCCTGCAGTGACATCAAAGAACATCAAATGATGTGCAGTCGGTAGAGACAATGACCGGTATTCATCTCTAAACCATCCCCAAGTCACAAGTGTGGATGAGATCACAAAGGAGCGACTAAAAAACCCACAAAAGTTTAACTCAAGAAAGGATTAGCAACAAACAACTTGTTGACTTAAGGACTCTGTAGTCGCTTTGGCAAAGCCTGAATAGACGACGGGCTGCAGGAGCCAGTGTCTCATTATCCACAACCTCTGATGCAGCGTGAGTGGGCGAGAGGCATTTTAATAGTCACTTCCTTTCTCGATAATCCCCAGCAGTTGCTGCCTAGGGGTTGACTCGCTTGTCTGTGCAAGTGTGTACGTTCTAATGTTCACGCACGAGGAATGCTGTGAATCAGATCGCGACAGCCAAGTCAGCAGCTCCACTAAGGAGGCAGGCATCATGCAACGCCGGCTACATGCCGGGAAACGGGAAGGGGGAGGGAGGGAGGGAGGGAGGGAGCTGCAGCGACTCATGCAAGCAGCTGTCCATTCGGCTGCAGCCGTTCACGTGTCCTCTTCCTCCTCCTCCTCCTCTGCTTTACAACCACTTTTTAAAATAAACATGAGCAGTAAGATAGGTGCGGGAGATAGCTGCAGCAGGTGTCCCACATACCTGATTCGAGGTGCATGCGGGTGTGGAGGAGCCAAAGTGGGACACCCTGTGCGTCACCATCCTGTTTTTCCTGCCGTAGCTGCCGTTGTCTTCTACCTGCCTGAACTATTCCCGTGCACGCCAACTCTATTAGATCTAATGATCTTATCAACAGTATCTGATTCTTCTCTAAATAACCTGTCAGATGCATCACAGCCCCCCTCCCCCCCTTTTATCTCAGCTGGCTCCGACCTTCTCCTGGTGCACGACTTTAAGCTATCTAACATGCTATCAGTTCTCTCCGCTTGTACTTATCTGTCACTGCAGGGGGTATTCATTTCAGACACCTTGTAGTCTGATCTACTCTGGCTCCTGTGTCACTTCCTGTTACGAGATTCTGTGTCACAGAAAAAAAAAAATTGGTGGGTGGGGGATGCACGCGAGGCTTCTGTGGAAACGAGTTCAGCACCCTTATTGGGGACTAGTAGGCAGCACCTACCGTATTTTTCGCCCTATAAGTTGTCGTTTTTTTTTGTATAGTTTACATGCCCTGTGACTTATAGGCTGAAGCGACTTATTTATGAATTTTCTCCGCTATTTATAAACCAATTTTTGGCTGAGATATGACCGTTTTCTTTCATTCATTCTGAGTGAAAATATTGAACAGTACCACTTTCAGCCGCTAGATGGCACTTGAGTAGTAAAGCATGCCGTTGCATCATGTAATAGATAAACATGGCTATTAATGACACATTCAAAATGTTCAAGACAAAAACAATTGGACTTTATTTATTTTACGTTATACTTTATTGTTTGTGTCTTGAACTTTTTTGAATTTACCATGTCCTGGATGACTGAAAATCTTCACCAGCTATTAATGACACAATCAGCTTGCCATAGGCTGCCACCTTGGTCCAGTTCGCCTGGAGCAACCACCAAACCAGCTTAATTTCGCTGCGCCACCCCGATGAAATGCAGCTGATTTGACTATTAAAGTGCATTTATTAAGTAAAAGTTCAACCGAGACGCACCTTTACTTTAATGTCGAGCAAACAAATAATTGTTTTAGGTGCTTTTCTTGTTAAATTTCAACAAAACACGCAGCGTTCCTCCTTCTTTTTTCCTTCCTGTCTGCTCACTCCTGGAGCACAGAGGCAGCGAATACTTTTGAATTACAGCTGATTTGACCGTTAAAGTCCTTTTATTAAGCAAATATTAGACTGAGACACACCTTTACTTTAATGTCGAGCAAACAAACAATTGTTTTTAGATGCTTATCTTGTTAAATTTTGAAGAAACGCACAGCTACTTGTCCCTCTGCGCGTTCCTACTTCCGCGTATCGGCTTTCAAAATACAGCTGATTTGACCGTCAAAGTGCATTTATTAAGGAAAAGTTCAACTGAGACACACCTTTATTATAATGTTGAGCAAACAATTGATTTGAAGTGTTAATTTTGTTAATTCGTGTTAAAGTCCTTCCATGCACGCTCCCACGGCCGACATTTGGCAGCCAATCGATTTCCAGGTGGTCAGCGGTGATGCGTAATAGATGCGACGTATACGGTGAAGCAACGTATTTATTGATTTTTCCACGTTATTAGACATATTTGGACTGATGCGACTTATAGGGCAGTGCGGCTTGTACGGCGGAAAATACGGTATTATTATCCACCTAACAAAAGGGTTTCTTAACTTTATATCTTACTTTTCGGTCAACTTTAACGTGGCCTGAACTGCAACGTGTTTCCCCGCAAATGTCATCAAAACAACTGTCTCGGTGCCGTGATGTGTGCTATTACTTTTATTGGCGTTTCGAGTTACCATGGCGACGTAATTTGCAAACAATTATGCCATTTTTCCCATAAAAACGCCGGACGGAACACTTGTCACACTAAGCTACATTTAAATGGCTTTAACAATTAGAGCTGAATTTGGTGAGGTTATAGCTGAGAACGTTCCCCATCAAATACTGAATCCAAATCAAAAATCCAAGATGGCCGCCTTAGCTAAATGGAAAAAATGACTATAACTCGTTGATTTTTTTTTTTTTTTTTTTTTTTTGCCATGTTGAGCTGAAATTTGTTATAGTGGTAGCTGAGAGCAGTACTGTCAAATCAAAACTTTTAATTGGCAGCAGTGGCAGTCCCCATCAAAGTTTCTCCAGGAACGTTCTAGTTCTCTCTCGAGACGCCCTCATCTCTGCTTCCTCTTGTGTTTGACAGCTGGAGCACCTGGAGCCGTCCATGTTTTAGTGAGACCAGTTTTTAAAAAAATGACTGTGTATATTTCCAGAATGCTAGGATGAGCGAGTCAACCCGTTTGAAAACAGATGATTTACTGCCTAACAAAAAAAAGAGCGATAAGTGGAATAAGGTGGCGCTTGGAGATGCCAAACATTTAAGAAATGTTCCTTTGGAGTTTGTCTCATGTGGCAGCTGGAGGACACGGGTGGAGAGGGCTCAGCACCACCCCGATATGTTCATGAGGCTGAACTGAGCCGGGCCACGTCAGGTGAAAGAATCGACACCGGACTGATTCCCTGCAGTCAAAAGTTTACTGATGATGAAGCTCAGAGTGGGGGCAGCTTAAGGAGCTGGGCGGTGGGGTTTAAACCCTGGAGTCAGAGAGATTATTATGTGGTTGCCACTTAGGGACTGTGGCCACTAATCCTCACCGCTGAACCTAATGGTTCTGGTCAGAGCTGCAGGAGTGAATGGAGAGCTTGAGGCCTCACCTCTGCCGCTGCGGCCCACGAAGCGGAGGTCGTTGAAACGCGCTACTTGATTCTTCATCACGCCCGAGGCGTTCCGCAGCTCGGCAGAGTAGTTCTCGTCGTTCCCGGCCATCACGGTGACGACCGTCCCGTCAGGTATGTCCCCCAGGGCAACCACCTGTCCAGAAGACAAAAGGCAGACATTTTAGAACAGGCCTCCACACAGGAAACGTGTTTTTTGGTTCTATGGTTCAAAAAGACTCAACTTGATCTTCATATTTATTTATTTATTATTTGGCTACATGTGATTTGAAAATTCAAAAGCACAAAAGAAAAATAATTCTTTGTCGCTCTGTGGCACCGAAACTCTGAACGGCTCACTGTTTCCCCATCATCTGCGCTCCGCATCACGTTGATATACAGATTTAATGTTGTTCCGTGCATCATCAAGACACGTGTCATAGCGTTAAACCATCTCGAGTGTGGAGGGCCTCGTGTTATCGTTAACATTCTTGGACGCAGATAAAAGAGGACGAGCAGGCCTCGAATAATTACAGAGCAATAAGAGCGAGTAAATACATATTTCAGAAAGTGTCACATTTAATCCAAAGTCAGCTACAAATTTAACAAGACTCTTTGATGCTTCCTTTAAAATGGAGTAATTAATGGGGCCTTATGGGAAACAAACAAACAAACAAAAAAAAAGCTCAAAAGGCCTGAAAAAAAACACTGAAAGCATAATTCTTAGAGGCCTCTAAAATTTTATGTTTGTGCGTTTTTCCAACTTGTCCACACATAAAAACTGAAACCAATGCCTCATTACTGCACGTGACCTGCAGGACAATTAGAAAGTAATAAATATTTTAAAAGGGATCAAATTAAAATATTACTAAATCAGGAATTTAAAATCATTCGATTCAAGTTGCTTGATTATATATATATATTAAAAAAAAACATTTGACGCATTGGGGAGGGGTGAGAGAGAAAAAAAGGAGAATATAAACAGGACCGTGCCAAATAAAACGAATTATTTGAGCTAAATAAAAAAATTAAAAAAAATCAGGCTTATTTTGCCACGTTACAGACAATATGTTATTTACCCCCCCAGCAGGGACTCACCTTGAAGGCGACGGGCAGCGTCTTGTTGCACCTCCAGTGTGAGGGCAGGACGGAGCAGAGGAAGTTGGGGCTGTCGGTGCGCACCAGCTCGGCCGGGTGGTCGGCGATGATCTCCGCCATGCTGCGGTTCTCGTGGGGCCGCAGCCTCGGCACCGCCGCGTCCGGCTGCCCCGCGGGGGGGCTCACCTCGTTCATCTTCCCTGGGACCGGCTGGAGGCTGCTGGACGGCGGACTGAACCTCCGGCTGGCGCTCGGATCTACGGGAATGCGCATCACAACACCGGAGGGAATTAAAAAAAAGACGCTCCGAGCGATTTCTTCTTCTTCTTTTTTTTTTTTTTTTTTTTTTTTTTAAGAAAAGTGGAAAAACGGTGGCTTTTAAAAACACAGTCTACTCCTTCATCACAGCTCTTTAAACCTCACGTGCGTGGTTATAAATAGCATCAAATAAATCTCCAAGAGGCTGCACAATCACAGAAAAAAAGGGCAGGTCTAAAGAAAAAGAAAGGAGTAGACGGTCTGAAAAGTTTTTGTCCTCTTTTTATTAAAAAAAAGAAAAAAGAAGTCAAAGCGCAGCTCCAGGTGCGTCATTGAAGTCTTTGTGTCAAACAGAAAAGCGCTCTGAAAACCCGCAGGCTATGTACACACTCCAAAAAAAAAAAAAGTCTTCAAAGTAAAAAAAAAAAAAAGTTAACAATCAGCATTTATAACCCCGCGACGCTTGTAAATATATTTCTGTAAGAACTTCCGGTCGCTCAAAGAAAATGGGACGAAGAAGAAAAAGAGGAGATGAAAGAAAAGGAAAAAGCGAGTCCCGTTTTGCGGCGGTGCGCGCGGTTAAAGTGTTTGGAGGTCGGGCTTTCCCGCGTGCTCGAGCTTTTTGTGGTTTATATAGCGCGAGCGCACGGCAATTATCGCGCTGATGCGGCTCCAGCACGTGGTGTCTGGAGTCAGATCCCCTCCGCTGTAATCTATCACGCCTCTTCATACGCAGCCTCGGACAGATGTTTGTGTGTGCGCGCGCGCGCTCCCAACGCCTTTTTGAAGAGTTTATCTTCCGGTACGTACCGACATGTTGCCGCTCCGCGGGACCGTCGGCTCGCGCCCGTCTCCGCTCATCGTTTCCAGTCGAACCGTGTCGCGTCGCTTTAACAGCGCGCGCGCTCCCTCGCGCAGAGCTGCGGAGCTCCACGAGGCTGGACGGAGTGAGTCACCGGAGCTGTGAGTCAGGTAGAGAGGCGCGCGAGGGGTAGGGTTTCACTCGGTCGCAGGGGGAGAGCTGTTGCGCAGGTGTAGGCGCGCACAGGTACATTTACGCACGTTTCTCCTCATGTGGAGGAGCCAATCAGGAACAAATAAAAACGTCACCGGGGATTCGGTTCTGAGGTTCGGTTAAATCAATCACATGCGCGTTTCATTAGAAGAAAATGAAAGCACATGCACTGCAAGATGAGCTCCTGCGGGTCATTTCTGCGAGGCGCAAATTACGCACGACTTACATTTATTCTTCCAAATTAGTTATTTTAGACGGTATTTATTAAATAAATAAATAAAAAGAAGTTCTGCATTTCGGTGAAACTGCAGAATTTTTCAATTAAATCACTGATTTCTAAAACATGTGTCTGGAAATATGATGAGTTTTATCCACTGCAGCAGAAAAGTGCCTCAAATCTGTTGCTTCTCCAAAATGCAGCGAAGTCTATTTTATTATTTTGTTGCTATAATTTAAATAATAAAAAAAAGCATCACCAAATAGCACAGAAACCCACTTCAACAGCTCTGCTGCTCAAATATTTTAAATACTTTTTTAAATTTTTTTAAAAGAAGGACATTTTAAAAAGATAATATAATAAAAGAAAATACACACAAATTTAAACATGAGCATTGAATTAATTATAATTTTATTTAATTTTCTAAAACATCTTTGACGTTTCATGTCAGCAGCACAATATATTTTCCCATTATTTTATTTGTTGTTATGATTATTTAATAACTAGTTCTAGTTTTTGATTTTGAACGACCGGTTCTAGTATCTTTAATGAAACAGTTCTAGTTATTATTAAATACATAATTCCAGTTAATAATACAGAAACTGTTATAGTTGTTATTATTATTAGTAGTATTAAAGAAACTGTTATAGTTATTAAATATACTTATTTTTTTTAATTAAAGAAACAATTCTAGTTGTTAATAAAATCATCGGAGTGGAAGCTGCCCCCTCCTTCCTCCACTGTAGAGGGCATCATTACCCTCCATGAGGCTCTACATCTCAGCCAGACACCCCCCCCCCCCCCCCACACACACACACCATCCTCTCTCCTAATTACCCATCAGTCTCCCAATGAGACCATTCTGGGTGCCACATCACACAGCAGCGTGTGTATATTACCATTCTGCGTTTCTTTTTCCTCCCAAACAAGCTTTTATTGCACAAAGTCTTTAAGACAAAGGCCTTTGATACTGCAGGCCTCTTTCAAAATAAATTAATGACTCGGGGACACAGCTGTTAGGGCATTTAACTTGTTTTTATGTTGCGAAGCTGAATATAGCTTTAATATTTAATTAAAGAAAACGCTGCTGTTGCGCGACAACAAAGGGGTTTAATTGTGCACCAGTCTGCGCATTTAAAACAACTTGAACTCGTGCACACTCGCATGTGCGTGTGAGGATGTGGAAGGGATATATACATTCATATAAGTCTGCACTGACACGCATCTGGCACCTTGTCATGTGATGGAGGGGTAAGAGGGGGAGAAAAAAGTGATTGAGTTACACTTCCCCTTAAAGGGTGCCCCCTGCCCCCAAAACACCAGAAATATGGTTCACATTGTTCAACATTGCCAAAGATCAGCTAACAATTCATGGGTGGATAGATGTGAATAGTAGTAATTAAATCTGTAATAGTCATAAACACGGCCTTGCAGGGACCATGAAGGCACTTATTCCAAAGGAGTTGAGTTTCAGCTCGGATAATGTCGTGGAAAATGTGTGGGAAAACATCCAAAACGAAATGTAATTTAGCACGTGTTCTGGATGAAATGTCAGAGAATTTAGTCTATTTAACATACCCGGCACGATCAGCTTTATTAGTTTTAGCTTTGACAGTTTTAAACTGTAATTAAACTGTGAAGTTTTTAATTTGAGACGGCTTACCGCCCTGTCAGAAAGGGTTTTATGTAAACTTTTTTCCCCACACACACAACCTCATCAGCTTTAAATGTACATTGAGTTGTCCCTTCAGAGGCGCTGTGTTTTCCCGTTTCAAACCCTAGACCCCGAACCCCCCCCGTCCGACCCACCCAACCCGGTCGTGACTTAAGCCCTGACAAGCTGGGCTCATCAAAGACTGTTTGTCCCATCTGAATCTGCTTTGCTTCCTTGCTGCACTTCCAGCATCTGTCTTCCAGGTCCCAGTAGTCCAGGATCTGCTTAGCGTTCATACCGTGAGGCCTTATGGCGGTCTACTCAGAGGTATTGAGCCGAACCCTGTTTCAAAGTTTAAAATTCACCGTTTGACGTAAGGGAAGACAGCAGAGGGAGGTCAGTTTTGTGCCAGAGCGCGCTGCTGAATAAAAATATCACTTTTTCTGTGTCTCCGTGGCAGATTTATTCCAACACAAAGATTAACTTTTGATTTAATGCAACCCCTGGATTGTTTTTCTTTTATTCCAGATATTTGACTGATCTTGCTGAGTATTAGCAGATCTAATAGGATGTTGTAATGAATCTAGCATAAAGCCGTTAAGCCATGAAGTAGATCTGCAGCTCGCCTGGCACACAGCTGGATCTTCTCTCTCTCTCTCTCTGTGTGTGCTCTGGTGTTATTCATCTACTGTGTTACACTGGCTTGGAGTCGCTGCACAGTAGGAGAAGTGCCGAACAGTAAAGAACCACAGCGTACCACATTGAGCAGGATGTGCCTTTTGTGATTTATGGTAATATTGTGTTTCTGCCTCTCAGTTTCAATTATTTGTTTGAAAAAGAATCAAACTCAGCTGACACTATAAGACTAATTTTTCCTGTCGAGATATCAAGCGTGTAATAGAAGTTTCTGTTGTCGTTCCCACTTAGAATGACATGGACTGTGTGAAGCGCTAACACGTACACGCGCTCAGTAACTACAGCGCTGACGGCACACTAACCAGAGTCTTTTCTTCTGCTGTTGTTGTGCGACAAGCAAAGAGGAGTGTGTATTTTTGCATATAGCTGTCAGCGAACACAACTGGTACTAATAAAAGGGAAACCCGTTAAAGGCCAAGCATCCCTTGAAGGACTGTCCTTCACCCCTGAGTTTTAAACTATGTCGGGAAATGATGAAGTGATGTATTGACAATGACTCTCAGCTATAACCATGCCAAAATTTAGCTTGTTATGTGTAAAATTGGGCGAGTTATTGACATTTTTGAGTTTTTAAGGTCAGTTGGCTGTGGTGGTCATCTTGAATTCAAGTTCAAGTTTCTTTATTGTCATTCGCATCACACGTGGTACATGAGGTGGAACAAATTGTGTACTCAATGTCCAAGTTACACCCGAAAATAGCTAAAATAACAAGTATTAAAAGAAACGGTATATAAGAATCTAGTGGTTCTCAACCCTGATCCTTGAGGAACGCCATCCTGTATGTTTTAGTTGTTTCCCTGCTCCAACATACCTGATTCACTGATTTCATTACTTCCTCGTGTTCAGTAGAAATCTTTTAATCACCCATTGATTAAAATCAGGTGCGTCGGAGCAGAGAACCACTAAAACATGCAGGATGGTGTTCCTCAAGGACCATGATTGGGAACCCCTGCACTAAGATATATGCTAAACAATACATTAAAAGATCTAAGATGTACACCAAACACATAATGTAAAATAATATGGTATATTAAACAGCTGAACATGAGTCTGTGGTGAGTAGATGGGTATGAATGAATACAGCAGCATGAGATAGCAGCACAGATAAGGTTCACAATTGGGAATTAATAATCAATAATCACAGAACTGGGTTTAAAACAAATGGTAAAAAGTTGTTGATATACAGCTAATGTTTTTTATCCTTTGTGGCCAAAGGCAATGGCAGACGTTTATGTTTTTGTTTGTGTGTTTCATGGCATGTTTTCTAGATGCACGTGTGTCTGTCTGTTACCAGAATATGGTATGGTATAAAGTTTATTCATTTAAAAAAAGTACAAAACAATTCCATAACAATATAAAAAAAGATACAAAAGATTTAAAATGAAAGGCAGCAGAAAGAAGAAAAAATCTTATTATA